ATGATGGTAGGACTCTTTCTTGCACGTGGTTTGGTCACAAGCCCTTGGTCATGCCCCTGAGTAGCTCCCATGGTCTTGGTTGAGCACAAGCTCATGCAGGCAGTGCTGGGCCATACATCTGAGAGGAGCACGTGTGCACAGGGATGAGGGGGTTCTTACACTTGTGAAATGGGAGCAAGGACCTGGGGCTGCCTCACCTGTCCCTTGCTGCACTGAAGCACTGCCACTTTTCACCAGTCCCTTCCTGCTTTAACAGAAGCACCATTTCTGAGGGGCTGTATCTTTGAATGTGCTGCTGACAAAATGATGCCCAGACCATGTGGTGGCAGCTGAGCGTGAGGCTGGGCTCCAGTGACATTTCCAGCAGGAGTCACAAGGAGTCCTCACCACAGTCAGAGGAAGAGTAGCCATCCCCCCTTGGCCTCTCGTATATCGTGAGGGTGGAAAAGGAGACAGGGCTGGGAAAAGCTGCCAAGCTTTTGGCAGCTGTGAGGGCACTTGGGTCTCACCTCATACCTCTTGTCTCCAATGTCTTCCCCTTGGCAGAGTTCCTGGAGTTTATGAAGGGGGTTGAATAAATCTGAGGCCAGATGGACAGCATGAATCTCCTAAACCCTCCAACTCTGCATCTCATCTCCTTGACTAAGTCCCCTGGCTACCAGCATGAAGACTGAGTGCTGAGAAGGGTGGCCAGGGGGAAATAAAACCTGTTAATACCCAGTGCCTCAGCTGGTCATTCCTTGGAGGTTCAGTGACAGCTTCACCCCTGCTGTGTACTCATGATTAATGAAACCACTGCTGAGGACTGCTTCTGGCAAGGTGACATCACAGCTGGAGCTTTAAGCCTCCAAGGAGGTATTCTGCTGCCAGCCCAATGGCAAAGTCCATCCAACAGGGCCGTGGGTGCTCGGTGGGGAGCTGCCATGTTCCATCTCCTCACCCTGCCATGAGACTCAGAAGCTGGCACTGGTGCCTGCTGGTTTAACTGGAGCACTGGCAGCATTTTAGCAATGAAATATGAATTAAAACCCCCTTCAGTCATCACTGAAATCCATGTGCCAGTGACAGTCCCTCTCCTCCCTACTCTCACCCTGGCTATCCTGAGGGTACACTCCCTCCTCCTCCCTGATTGGCACCTTGTAATGCCAAAAGAAGACCTCAATTTGCTTTTTTGGAAACATGAATAAAAGCCATTCCTGAGCTGGACTGGATGCTCCTTCCTGTCTCTCTCAGCCTAGTGGGAGGCAGGTCCTGGACCCTCATAGTCCTCCTGCAGCCCTGGGTGGGAGCCTCACTACAAAAAATGAGACACCCAATTTTCCCTGGCAAATCACATCGATTTGGGCCACTGAGAAATGCACAACCCCACTCTGGGTCTCAGCTCCCAGGCACAGGGTGACAGCAGGGCCAAGGAGCTGCGCTGTCCCCAGCACCGTCTCCTCTCATCCCAAGGAAGCACAGCATTCCTGTGGCATTAGCAGCTCTCCCTGCACATAGCTGCCTCCTCCCATCGAATTACAGCCCCAGCACAACTCGCACATTGCAGTCGTGTTGCTAAAGTCAATCGTTTACCCAAGCAAAATAAACATTGGCAGGGCAAGCATGGGACTGTATTGGTGCAAGCCCCAGCAATGCTGCCCTCAGCCTTGGGTGGCCACGCTGCTGAGCCCGTGCCTCAGGTCTGCTGCTTGTCCTTCTGCCTTTCCTCCCCAGACTAGATTTTTTCCCTACTTCTGTGGCAATAACACTCTAAACCAGCAGTGACACAATCTCATTTATAGCAATAATGATATATTGCAGTTCAGGGAAAAGAGGGATGAGAGAGGTGGCTGATTGTTTGCAAGGACATGGCTGTGTCTTTCCTCTGGACAAGCAGCACTAAATATTTTGCTCAACCAAGGCTTATAACAACAGAAGAACTAAGAAAATGAAACAGGAGCTGTGCAGGGGGTGACAGCAGCCCATGCCATCAGACACTGCCACAGTTCTCAGGTCAGTTATCTGCTTGCCTTTGCTGTAGATTTAAACTCCTGCCTTTGTTTACAGCTTTACCAGTGTATTTGAGGCCTCTCCTCAGCCCTCAATAAAACTTTGCTGTGTGAACCAAGTGCCTGCAGGAAGCTTAGATGAAATTTTGTACTCGCTCCCCTAATAAAAGCTCTGCCTAAATCTGCCAGCAGGGCAGTGCCAGTGTAACATGAGCTAAGGTACATCAGATAAACACTTCACCAAGCCTAAGCCCCTGTGGTGTAAGAAACACCTGCAACAGCCTTGAAACCTGGGCAAAGCAGAACTTCTGTTCTGTTGCTTCTTTTTGACCACACTATTGAAAGGCAGTAAAGGGGGACACAGCAACACCTGTCCAGCCCTACTTTTTATCATCACTGTGAACATCCACGTCCCCAGTTAACATCCATGCCCCATAAGAGCATTTTGCAGGGGTTTGATTTCCCACTCCCCCGGTTCTGTGCTCTTGGCTTTCAGAGCAATGGCTCACCTTTGCCAAACGAGATGATTTGGCATTTGGTTACACGCCCTTTGCCTTTTTTCTTTTTTAAGTCAAAGCAGAGAAAGGAGCCAAACTGGAACTTGATACTGAGTCCTCTTAATTGCAAAGGGGAGAACTAATCTGCAGCAAGCATGACGTACACCAGCAGCAAGCATGAGATGTATAAGCTGATGTACAGCAGTTGTTCAGCACTGAGATGCTTTTGAGCTCTTTGCCTTCCTGCAGGATGCCAAACACTTCATCACAAGAGTTTTGAAGTTTTCAAGTATCAAAGATGAGACAGCTCTGCGTAATAGGAATAGTTTCAAGTGGGCCACAGCTGCTGGTTCCCCCTCCTGGGCTCTGTATACGTAATGTCCCCAAAAAGGACCTCCAACCTCACTTCACCAATTGAACTTAAATAATTTCACATGGCCAGAGAAAGAGGATGGAGACCCACCCAGAGGCAGAGTCAGCACAAATTCCCTCCACAGCTTCCCCTTTGGGGCTGGGACAACTGTACAGAGAGGAAAGGTGTGAACACAGGTGTCACAGGGCTAGCAAATGCAATAGGTGGTCACTGATGTCCAGGCAGCGTCCTGCAGAACCACCACGTGTGCAGGGAGCACACAACAACAAACCTGACACCGACCTGCTGTGGAAGCTCACAGAATTCCTGTCTCTTGCTACACAATGATGCCTGGATTAAGGTTACGTTCCTCTGTGCTGCATTTTGTCACGCAGCCGCTATTTTGGTCAGAAAGTCAGCAAGCCCTTATTTGGGAAGCTGTCCCACTGAAGGGCATCATGAAGGGCAGTGAGATGAAAAGGCTGCTTCTGAAGGCAGGCCTGGGGAGCTGCCTGGAGCCACAGGAAGCCCAAATCTCACCCTCTGATTCTTGTTAACATTCCAACATTCTCTTCTCAGCCTGGCCCTTGCCTCTCTCTTCCCTCAGACTGCATCTTGTGGGTGAGCTACTCACAACACAAGCACTCTGGGGAAGACATCAAGGAGGTTGAGATGAAATCTCCCTTTTTACCTTTTTCTTATGGAAAAGCTGTAGTGCTAGAGATGTAAAATGCAGAACTTACACTGGATAGAAAATCTGCAGACACACAGGTAAAGGTGTAAAGTGAGAAACACCAAGTGCTCTGTTCAGAGGTGTCTTCCTTTCTCTCTTTTAACACACATCTACACCAGACTGAGCACACCGACCCTCGCTGGACCAGCCACTCCCACTTCCTTCAGTACCAGCAACAACTCCACTGTGTGCCCTAATCATCTAGCAAGCAGTGGAGTGAACCCTGGCAATGAACTGTCATGCTGCTGCTTAATATTAAATCTGGTTTTTACTGATACCTTTGCTCTAAGTTCCTCAAGTACTTTTTTGTAACAGGCTGACAAACACCAACTTCCACAAAGCCCAAGAGATGCACACAGCAGGAATCAGACAGCTGAGGGCTACAGACATCCCAGACTTTACAACCCCCTAGACTTGTGAGTTCCAAATTAGTAAATCTCTTTATATTTCTTTGTTTAGGGGTGGGTGGGTTTTCCTAATCAGTCAAAAACAAGTAAAAACTGGGGAACCGGGGAAAGATTTTGAATTTAAGCCAGAAAGAGTTCAAACTAATGCACATAATTTTGGTAATTGGCTAAACTATTAAAAAAATAAAGTACATGAACTGGATGTTCTAGTTAAATTTTTTTTCTGCTCTACTGCAGTCAGACGGTCCGTGTGAACTTCCAGCCCTGGAGTGCTCTGCTGATTTACCCCATCGGGTGGACAAGCACAGAACTGCAATTCCAGAGCTGCTGGCTGCATTCCAACAGGTGCCTCGTGCCAGAAGTGGCAAGCACGGCCTGGGTCAGCTTTGAGGGGGCTCTGGAGAGTGAAGCCCACACCTGATGTACAAAACAGCAGGAGCAAAACCTGGGCTCAGCTCCTCCCAGGATTTTGCACATTATTCCCCTAATCTCCCCAAGCCAACACGTTTCATCAGACAGTAATTTTATTACTGAAGTGAAAGGCATTCCCTAAAATCAGCCACTATTAAAAAATGTGCATTTTCTATATTCCTAAACCCTTACATATTCCCATGGGTAGCTCCATTAATGCCTCAATACCTACAAATATTTCAGGATACAACACACACCAGCTCCAGCACAAACTCCTGTGGTTTCCAACACCACACCACAACCAGCACTCCTTCCCCTCCTAATTCCCTGGATTCCACAGCTGTAGAGAACCACACAGCAAAGCAGCAGGCATGTAACAGCCCTTGGAAATTTCACCTTGCTGTAACAACACCAGGAATTACCACTAAAGTCGTGATACCTGAGAAAGAAAATGCCACCCCACTTTTCAAAAGCACAAAGAGGATCCAGGGAACCACAAGCCAGTCAGGCTCCCCTGGATCACTACTCACAGGCTTGATGGACAGCTGGCACCTAAAATACAACTCAAACAAGGCCTCTGGAGGGCTCTCCTCAAATTCAGGAGATGAAGGCTTTGTTACATACAATTTTATTTTTAAAAAATGCTGTAACACATATGCCAGTAAGAAAACTGGGTCACTTGTTCAAGCACATCAGTCCTTTTTCTGCAGAGCAGCTTGCTGAGCTGCCTGCTTGGCATTGTTGGCCTGCATCTTCTTCAGCCCCTTCTTGTTGTGTTTCTTTGCAAATCTCATGTTCCTCAGAAACTTGGGATCAACCTATAAAAAGAAAGGAAAAATAAGCCATGCTGCAGAAGAGACATCTGTAAAAACACTTATAGCTCCATATTGTTCCAATTACTCCCAAATGTAGGCTGTCACTAGTTCAGACTTCTTTTCTGATTTTTCAACAAGATTACTTTAGTCATCTGCAACCAGGCTTTAACAGCTATTTTCCTTAACCACCATAAACAAACAAAAAATCCCAAACCCCAGCAATAAACATAAAGAAAGAATAGGACAGGCAAAGCTGCAGGAGAGGCAGGACTGAACCCTCACTGAGCTTTGTGGAAGATAAATTTTTACATCACTTCCAAAAAGCTTTGTAGACCGTGACATCTACAAAGCAAATAAAATCACAACCCTCCCCTAACACAAAGTGAACTGTTTTCACTTTCATGTATGGAAGAAGACCCTGCTGTACCATTCAGATAATTTCAGAAAAAGCAATATACTGTCACTTTCATGTGTTTTGCCCACGAATGCTATTTCCTCTCCTTTTTTTTTTTTTTTTTAATTTCCTGTAAGTGAAATTATCTGGATTATTATAGACAGTAAAACAATATTGAAGGAGAGAGCAGAGAAGGAGAGAAGGAGACACAGCAGAACCCAAAAGGGAAAGGAACCATTTAACTGGCAAGTGCTTGTTTTAATGGAAACAGCACCCAGTGACAGCCACCAGAATAGGACAGGGACACAACTGGCCACTGACTAAAATGCAGTTTTACAGACATTCAAGGGCAGATTTCATGTGGGTGAAAAATACCCCAGCTGCATGCCAGGTAAGTGAAAGAACTGAACCCCACAGTGGTTCTGACCCCCTGGTAACAGGCCTCTGTCTGCAAAAAACTGTGTCAGTCAAAATAATACAAACTCTGCATTTTTTCACAGTTAAGCCTCAGTGACTCAAGAGCCTGGGAATCTCAGCAGAAATACTCACCCCTTTGAGAGATTCGTATCTATGTTTTTTGGGCTTCTTGATGCCATTTCTGTGCCACTTACGGGCTACATGGAAAATAATACAATTATTTAAATTACAGTTTCTGCTATTACTCAGCAGCTGCATTAGTTTCTTTTCTAAGTGTACCTGACTATCAAAATGATGTGGAATAGACAACTTTTAGACCCTTCCTATCCAAACTACATTTGAATTAAGAACAACTCTCTAAGCTCATCCCCTTGCATGGGCTTCCAATACAAAGATTTCAGGCAGCTCATTAACTACTGACACCCTGACAGCACCACCAGCAGAGCAAAAAGCCTCACTCGTTAATAAATGGAAGCCCCTGTGGTCAGTGTCACAGGGCACTGTCACTCACTGTCAGGGCCAAGCAGAACCTACTGGTGACCTCTGCTAATTCACAGCACTGATGAGAAGACTCCACACAAACTCTTTTGTCACTGTGGCCATCTCTGGATTGCACAGGACCCCAGGGATGAAGCTTTTCAGGAACATCACAGAATGACAGGATGGTTTCGGTTGGAAATAACTTTAAAGACCATCCTGTTCCACCCCTGCCAAGGGCAAGGACATCTCTCACCAGACCAGGTTGCTCCAAGCCCTGTCCAACATGGACACTTCCAGGGATGGAGCAGCCACAGCAATCTGTGTCATCCTCACAGGGAAGCATTTCTTCCTAACATCCAACCTAAGCCTACTCCCCAGCAGTGTGAAGCTGTTCTGTGTCCTGTCACTGCCTGCTCTTGTAAAATGTCCTGCCTGCCTGTTCTCTGCCCGCTCAGCTGGTGATGGCCGCCCTGGAATCTCTCAGGCTGGAAAAGCCCTCCGAGATCTTTGAGTCCACCACCACCCAGCCAACCAGACCATGGCACCGAGTGCCACGTTCAGCCTTTCCTTGAAAACCTCCAGGTAGGGGACACCACCACCTTTCTGGGCAGCCCATTCCAATGTCTGAGCACCCTTCCTGTGAAGAAATTCTTCCTTATGTCCAATCCAAACCTCCCCTGGCACAGCTTGAGTCTGCATCCTGCCACCCTATTGCTGCTTACCTAGGAGAAGAGGCCGACCCCCAGTTTGCCACAGTAAAAGGTCCTATTTTCTACCTACGTATTAATTCTACATTGAGCCCAAACAGGTTCGACTCTTATCCCACTCCTTCAAACCCCCCATTCGATCTCTGTGCAACACCACCTTATCTCGCCACAAACCCCCGGGCAGGCGGTGCTGCCATCCCCGCGCCGGCCCCGGCCCCGGCCCGGTTACAGCCCCGCTCACACTGGTTGTGCGTGGTGTGGTTCTTGGACTTGGCCATGGTCGCACCTGCGGGAGAAACACACACGGCTCAGCCGGGCCGGGCCGGGCTGCCGGGCCCCGCACAGAGCCCGCCCGGCCCCGAGCCGCGCCTGCGGCCCCGCTCCGACAGCCCCGGCCCAGCCCGGCCCGCGGATGGTGCCGGATGGGCGCGGATGGTGCCGGGGCCGCCCTCACCGGAGCCGCGCTCGCCGCCGCCGGACCGGAAGAGAGGGAGCACCGCGGGGGCTGCCGGGAATCAGGGCCGGGCCGGAACCCCGTGTCCTGCAGTTCCTCCCGGCCGGTTCCCCGCTGCCTTCCCGAGCCGCTGCTCTTTGCCCGCACCGCCCCGGCTCCCGCGGCCGCCGCTCCCGCTGCGGCTCCGTGAGGGACCTGAGGCCGCTTTCGCCCCGGGAAGGCCGCGCCGCGGCAGGACCGCAACACCCGGCGACGTGGCGGACCCAGTCCCTCGGTTACCCGGTTCCCCCAGCAACGCGGTCCCCAGCAACACGGTCCCCCCACTAAGGTGCCCCCCGGCCATGGCCTCCGCCGGCCGGAGGGAGCCGGAGCCGGGAGCCGGAGGAGGGAGCCGGAGCCGGGAGCCGGAGCCGGGAGCGAGGCCGCCCTGCGCGGGGCCCTCCCGGCCGCCGCGGGAGCCTGAGGCCCTCGGGCCCGTCGGAAGCCGGGCCGGGTTTGTCTGCGCGTCCCACCGCAGTTCAGTCCCGCACAGGCAGCGCTCCTCAGGGCGGATTCGTTCCGTGCGTTCATCTTTAGTTGTATGAAGCACCAGAAGCTCGACCAGCTCCGTTTGCTTTCAGATAGAAAGCTGTGCCACCTCGGTGACCCCAAATCCCCCCATGCCCAACACAGATGTGGCACAGTGCAGGGGTTTATGCTGAGAGGTTAAAGTTTCACTCCTGCAAAAGACACGGACTGAGAGTTTGGTATTTCAGCCTGTGAAAGGCACCGACACAATGACTGTGATGGGAAAATTTCCTCATGGAAAGGGTGGACATTGCAATGGTTTGCCCGGCGTGGTGCTGGAGCCACCGTGCCTGGAGGTGTCCGAGGAAAGACTGGATGTGCCATGGATTGAGGCACCTCCCACGGTGAAGTGGCTCAGGAATTAGGGGAAGCTAAGGTCAAGCTTGCCCAAGCCCCTGGGCTTGTATCTCTTGACCAATTGCAGCATTTCTGGCCAAGGTTGCAAGGATTTCAAAGGGGAAGCTCTGAAAAATGAGCAGAAAAGGCCCAAGCTCTTCTGTGGTGTGGGAACAGACTGCACCTTTTTATGGCATTGCTTTTATTTTCTAATGAGAGCCACAAGTGAATTGCTAAAAGTAACCCAGACTGAAAAAAATACCCAGAGACCAAACGCCCCATGGCCAGTACAGAGAGTCAGCTGGACATTTTTCCAGTGGCTTATTGCTTGCAGAGCAATTGCTACCCTGCCTCAGGTCCAGATAGCTATAAACAAGCTCTTCATATTATAAAAACAGGGGAAAATAGATTGTCCTTGGTAGTTAGGTAACGCTGATGAGAGTGAAATGAAAGCAGGCAGGGAAAAGAAAGATAATAAAATTCAATTTCAGTATTTCTCATTTTGAGCAAGACCTAAGATGCAAAGTGTATTTGGCTTCATTTCCTAGCCCCACCCCCATTCTGGGCAGCTGTTGTGTAAAAGTAGATGAAAATAGCAATATTCTTTTACTGGCATTTTGCAGCTGGAATATGAAGGTCTACTCAAAATCCTCCTTGATATGCAAACATCTGACTTTTTAAAACTGTTGTTTTTTAAAATTCCTTCCACTGTACAGATCTCCAGTCTTAAAATATTTGTACATCACTGTGGCCAGCTAATTGCAGCCAACGGTAGAGAGAAACCCTGAGTTTCCTGATAACAGAGAGAGCCAAGCTCAGTGGAAGACAGAACTGAATCTCAGAGGCGTGTTTGCCTCCATTGCACTGCAAAAGGCAGAAAGGCTGCCAGCCCCCTGAGCTTGGCCATTAGATTATGAAGATTCTTGATCTTTTTAACTAATTTCTGAACCTTCCTCCATAGGAAGAAACAGAAGGGTTTACTTTAGGGTTTTATCCACCTTCTCCAAGTTTTTTCAGGGTCTTGCTGCAATTATTGCTGTTAGATCTCCCTCTCTCACATGAGCAGTCATACAGGTGGAGATTAGAGAAGCTGTGCTTAATGCCCAGGTGGTTGCAAGATCCATAAGCCAAATTAATAAAATAAAACTGTGGAAGAACATTCAGTTTGTGGGGCTGAGTGTAGCATATTCAGGGCAGTTTATAAATCACTGCAAACCAATGCAGGGAATGAGGTGAAAAGGATGATCCAAGGCAGGACCAGGAGCTGTGTACACCACTGGGTGATCAAGCCCCCTTGAATTTCTCCCATGCCCTGATGAGCTGCTGTGCCTCTAATTATGGTGTTACTGAGACGATTGGCCAGTTCAAAACCTTTAGTCATGCTTCTAGTGATTACAGACTTAATTAGTGCATGTTAGCCCAAGTGTCCTCTATTAAAGGAGCTGTGCTCATTAAATAGGATGGTAATTACTCCAGCTGCAAAACAATTATGAAAAAATCATAACATAAAAACCCCACAGTGCCTTTGACAACTGTATCTTGGTCACTGTCCTTGCATGGTGCACACTCATGCTGTCTGATCTCTGTTCTGGCACGGTGTTCATGCTGACACCACGTTTCAGCAGCCTCCCCTAGCTTGCCTCCTCCCTCCCTGTGAGGTGATTTGGCTTGGGGTGCAGAGTTACTGGGGCTGCCCCATTCAGGCGTGCCAGGACTGCCCACTGCCCATGGTGCCAGGGACAGAGCTGAGCCACGCTGGGTTTCACAGGGGCTAGAACAGAGGCTAGGTCTGGGCATTTCCCAAAACATAAAGACATTTCCTCCCCATTTCCACAGGAAGAAGACAAGGGAAGGCCATGTTCAGGTAGGATGCTGGACACAGTGTGACAGCACCGCTCCCCAGTGAACACTAAACCAGTGGTAAGCACTTCCAGGTGTTGATCAGGAGTCCAGCTGACTTTGCTTGGCACAGACCCTACAAACTGCTCCCTCGTGGGGAGGTATCAAACACAGGGGAGAATGCAGGGATGCTTCTGGCTATTCCTGATGGATCACATGAAGATTCCCACCCTGAGCTGCTCCCAGGGCAGCTCGGGCACTTCACCCATCCCCACTCATTCCCATGGCTCTGCAGACACCACCGAAGTGCAGCTGCAGCGTGCAGGGCTGTGCCTTGTCAGGGAGAGCAGCCTGTGGGATCCTTCCACCCTCCTTCACCCCAGCAGCAGAGCCAGGCTGGGCTGTCTGGCAGCTCCCCAAGGGGTCCCTGCCCTGGCAGGTGCCCGTGGCTTTGGGGCGATTTTAGGGCTGTTCCCAGCCTGGGAACAGGGCAAACAGGGCTTGGCTGTGCTGTGAAGCTGAGCGGTGCCGGAGGGGAGTGAGGGCGATGGACAAATGGCAGATACACCTCCAGAGAAGGCAGGAATAACGGGACATGGAGGCACTAGAGGGAGCCTGAGCACAACAGATCCCGCTCTGGCTCCAAGTGAGAGAATTAGTCCCACTCAGGGAGAAGGGGCATCACCAGCGAGTAGCAGCAAATTTCACACAGCAGTTTCCCCCTTGACATGGCATCCTACCTGGCTGGGCCTTCTTCTTTCCCCTGACAGCTGTTATAATTTCCTTGAAAGCATAAAGAAATGATTTAATTGATGGAAAGTGCCAGTCTACCAGCAGAGAGACAGCTGGCTCTGAGCACTTGGGATAGGAGGTGAGAAAAATCACTGGCAACTGGTGGCAATTGTCAGATTGGAGGGTTCAGGAGAAAAGGAATTCTTGCAAGGCAGTGGAGAGCAGAAATGCTGATCCACAGCTGCAGATATCCCTGTGGGAAGGGGAAGTGTCACAGCACAGCCGTGCCAAATGTTCCTGGACTGATGGCAGGGACAAGGGAACAGTAGCTGAGGTTTGTGTCTCCCACTGGTGCATTCCAATTTAGGAGAGCTGAGGCGCCAGAAGGGGCTGGACACCTGCATTCTTTTATTTTAATTTTGGATGTATCTATTCCCAGTACATCTGAAAAGTGCATCTTCTTTTACAATGTTTGCAAGGGGCCAAAATTTGCTTCTTACAGGATACACAGGTTCAGCTCAGTAGAAATCAGAGAGGATGAGTGAGCAGGGACCAGGAACAAATCCTCCATCACCCCTGGCTGCTGTTGGAGGCTTTCATTCTTCCCTCAGATCAGCCCAGACACTCCATACATACTGCACAAGTGTGTTCCTGTAAGCAGCTTCCTAGCATGAAGGCAGGAAGAAAAACCACGCAGCAGCCTGCGATGCAGCCCTGACCTTTCTCTCCAGGACTGCCACCTCCTCCCACTCTCCCTGGAGCTGGCACTACTAACAACTGGTTTCCTCTTGTTATTTTTCCACCTCCACTCCTTCCTCCAGAGGGGAGGCCGTGCTGGTGGCCCACGTACCGGTGACTCACAGGCTGGGACCTGCGAGGAACCAGCTAAGCCCAGCCAAACTTAGAAACATCTCATTTTCCATTGCCTACACCCTGGATGCTGCTTCTGGCTGGGTTAATCTCTGGAGACCTTCTCCAGCTACCTGTGGGGTTTGGGAGGACCAGCAGGAGTTGGGCTGAGATGGAGCAGCCCTTGATGTAGCTAATTCCATCTTGGTCAGTGTTTATCTAGCTTGATTATAGCTGAAACCCACGAGATGTTCTGGGCATCAAAGAGGGCTTTTCGTGCTTGGGAAACATGTAAATAAGGACATATATACAGAACTGCGTGGTTGTTCCATTTTTCTGGAAGCATTTGAATTATTTGAGGGGAGCTTAGGGGTTTAAAAGCTGATTCTCCATCTGTGTCAATCAGCCTGGTCCATCTGGCTGGATGTCCCCAAATCAAGATGACAACTGCAATCACATAACCGAGCCTGGGGCACCTGCAAGGTGGGGAACGACCTGCAAAGGTGGAAGTGCTGCCGTGGCTGGGAGCTGGGAATGGGAAATAGCTGGGTGAGGAGCAGGACCTGCAGCTCCGCCAGGAAGGGAGCAGCCGTGTGCGCAGCCCACGCCTGCTGCTTTAACGGGATTTTCCAGAACACTTCTTGCCCCAGAAACGGAAAAGGAAGCTCGCCTGCCGCTTCCGAAGGCTGGGGTGAACGTGTGCAGGCGATGTGACACCTGCTCGAGCCGTCCTTGAGCCGAGAGCCCGGCGGGTCCCGGGAGGGAGCGGAGCCGCAGGCACAGCGCGCACCGAGCGGCTGATGGCTGCGGGGAGGAGGCGCACGGAGGCGGCCGGGAGAAACGGAGAGGGCTGACCTAAATAGATGCTCGGCTAATTTATTCATTTCTCTGCTTTATTATTTAACACAACTTCGAAACAGCTCAGGACTTCTGGTTCCTCTCGGCTCTGCTGCTGACGTTGGGGATGGGGTTATTTTTTACCTGATTTTGCTGTCTTGCTCGGCACCCCTCTCTCCCGGCGGGCAGGCCAGGCACACTATGGGAAAGCTCCAAAACAACCACTTTCTAGCCCGGAGCACAGAAAGGACTTATTCTAAGTAATTTTGAGCTTTTGATTCACCTCCTGCTTAAGAAGCTGTTCAAATTTTGGCCTGCTTTATGCATTGCTAATAGGGAGATTTATCTCCAACTTAGCTGGCCGAGGAGGGGATTGGTGGGTTCATACAGCACGAGGCAGCCTTCAGCCTCCACTGACATCTTCCTCCAGGCAGGCTGCCAAAGGCAGCCCCAGGCTCTGCAGTGCAGGAGCTTTCAAGGATAAACCTGGAGCCTGTCTCACTTCCAGCCAGCCTCCTCTCTCCTCAAATCCTAGCAATCCCCCGAAACACTGTCCAGGAGGAATTTATTGCTAGAAGGACACAGAGCCCCCGCTGCTGGGAGAGCTGTTCAGGTTGCAGTTCACTCCACGGGCTGCACGTGTCCTCTGCGAGCCCATGTCACGTTTTAGCACTGCTGAGCTTGAACAGCCACAAGCTGGGGGGAAAAAAATTGATGCCTGTGCAGGTTGTCTGAACCCCTGCACCATTTCTGTGCAGGCACGAGGGACACGGGCAGAGCTGCTCCATGTGAAGCTTCCCAGATTCAAATCATACAGCACCCAACTTGTGCCAAGCAGGGCCCTTTAATTTTTCATTACAGTTCGTCACTTGATGTATGAATTTAGGCCAGTGTTGTATACAGTTACCCAGCCCCTCTGTTATGATTTTTAAACTGGATTATTCATCGACCTGCTTGATTCCTTTCAGATTTCTAAGCAGTAAAACGAGCCCTGATGCTGTTTAGCTTGGCAGCAGGGCCATCTCAGCTCACCCGCCTTCACACTGCTGGAGAGTTTGGTGATGCTGCTGGGAGTGGGATAGTGCAAAATAGCAGAAATGAAGCAGTTAAGGAGGCTGCAAGTCAAAGTCTCCCAAACCAGCAGGCACCGAAGGGGAGCAGTTGGGTGTGGGGCTGGGAAAGTTGGTGCTGCTTCCCTGGCACAGTCAGCTCCTTCTCCTGCCTCCACTGGTTAAACTGGGGCAGGGTGAATCCTGGGCAGGGTCCTGTGCTGGCAACCCACAGGGAGTACAGCCTGGCCCATGTCAGGCTTTGATCTGAAGGGCTTTGTGGTAGTTGTTTTTAATATAAAGTGAGACTTTGGTCCAAGAGCCTTTCAAGGCCAAAAAGAATGAACGTGGAAAGGACAGAGGCAGTTCAAGTGATTTGAAGTTTCTCTTTGCCGCCCTATACCCTGGACTGGTTTTGGTGGATGATGCTCCAGATTGCCTAATGAGGGCAGAAGGGCCCTACATCCCACACCCTCTGAGCCTGGGGTTTCATTCCCTGTCACCCTAATTCCACAGGGCTGATTAGGAAGGAGTTAAGGGTAGCTGAGTGTCACGCTGGGATTTAGGATCCTTGCAGGGCACAGCTCCTGCCCTGCAAGAGGAGGGAAGATCCCTTAATGAACCAGACTGGGCAGCAGGTTTGAGGTGAGGGCTCGGTGTGGCTGCCATGGAGAGGATTATTGGGAAGCCATGTTGACAAATGCTGTGGCTCAAAAGGAAAATTAATTTCCTCACAGAGATGGTTTGTTTGTGCAAAGTGGAGAGAGAATAAAGAAGCTGCCAAAAAAGACATTAAACTGCTGCTTACCTGCAGCTCATCTGATACCACTGCTGAAATCTCTCATTTGCAGCAACGTAATCCAAGATGTTCTTTCTGCAAAGCAAAAAAAAGTAGGTTATTGCTCAAGCAGAGCTGGGGTGGGATAAAGAGACAAGCAGGGCCTGATCCTGCCAGGTTCTGTGTGTTCTGCCCTCTGAGCAGGGTTAAAACCCTGCCTAGCAGCCTGATTTGGGGGTTTTGGAAAGAACTTGCACACAATCTCTTTCCAAACCTTTAGGGAAAGGCTTGCTGTGCTGCAGAGGCAGGGCTGGAGGCAGAGCATGGGGCTCCCAGCCCTGCCTTCAGTTCCTGCCTCTCTAACCCAGGGACCTGGTGGCAAGAGACACAAACCAGTAATCTTCAGTACTCTTGAAGCACATCTCAAAATGCTTCGTTAGGAGAGAATTAATGACCCTCCACAAAACTGGGCCTGCCCTTTCCCAGCCCTCCCCGCTTTCTTTTGGGTGCATTACCTGCTCCAGCCACTGGGTCATCCCACCTTTCCCGGGATGCAGAGATGCTGCACACAGGTTTTGCTCAGCAGCCACAAAATCCTCCTCTGCAGCACTGCGAGGATCTCGTGCTATTTCTTTTCCTGCCTTTAGATGTGCAGAAATCCACTTGGCTTTGTCTGCTGGTTGATTTTAGCCGTGGTTCTGTACCAGGATATTTTCAGAAGGTCTTGCTAATTAAGAAATCCTGTCCCCACTGAAACCACGAATGCAAACAACTGTTGATGTGCTTCCTGCACCTTTTTGGGGCCAGTGCAGCCACCCTGTCTCTCTTGGAAGGCTGCTTCTCATCCTGGGGGGCAGTGACAGGAGGTTCCACAAACGCTGTCCTTGGACGTTAAAGCCATAAATTACTGAGCTGTCCTTCCACAAAATCAGTGGAGAAAAATGACTGACACTATCCTTTTTACATAATTCAAATGAAAACCTAATTGCACCGCGGCTGCAGGGGAAGGGACTGGGATTGGCAAACAGGTTTGCTGCAGAGTTCCCAGTTCCCACCAAGGAACAGTGAGGTGCAGGCTGTGCCTGGGACACCTGACTGCTTTAAATAGTGCTTGTGCCCGACCTGTTCTGGAAATGGTGCTCGGGGGCACTGATTTCAGCCTGATACCAGCTGCATCCCTATGACAAAATGGGCTTTATTAGGAAAATAATATGGGCTGTGGCAACACTTCCATTAGCCCTGCTGCCATCCCACCCCCTGACAGCTGAGTACCAGAATAACTGAGCTGGTCCACACAGGAGTGATGCACTGGGACACAGGACTGCCAGTGAAGGAGCAGCACAGCACTCCCCTCTCATATCAGCCTCATCTCACTTGTGCTAGGGATGGCCTGATTTATGATTTGGCTTGCATTAAAACACATTTCCTTCCAGAGCAGTTTTACTCAGGCTTTTCAAACACTTAATGAACCCATATAAATCCTTAGGAAGTCTCTGGCAGGTGGACACATTCAAATATCCTTGGCATTCAGCAAATCTGATACATCCAGAGGGGACGGGGAGGACAGAGTGTCCAACTAAGATCTGGAGGCAGGTGAACTTCAAGTATTTTTCACTAGAGCTCCGAAACTGTAGCCTTGTTCAAGTGTTTTAGGATAAGACATCAAACCACGCTGACATGTAGTAAGGAAGAGGATGCAGGACAGACCTCAGGAGTCCTTAGTCTCCCCAGACACGTAGAAGATCTCTCTTTTCCCCCCTAGTCTGCGTCATCGTGCTGCCACCCCTTCAATTGCTGCAGAATCCTGAAAAATTAACAGCTAAAGGTTTTTCTTGCCTGCTCTGGCCACCTGAAACAACCTTCTGTTCAGATGGCAGCACTGTTTCTTAAAACAGCTCTTCCTCCTGTCATTAAATATTTAAGAGAGCAGCACAGGGGAAACCATGAGCTTTTATGGAGGCAGGATGGCACAGTGCTGGGAACCACACAGAGCCCGGTTTAAATAGCAATGAGATAGCAGCGCAGCTCGGTTTTATCCTCCCATTGCTCCCCCCGCAGCACAGCAGCCCCGGCACCGCATCCCCGTCCCGCTGCTTGCGGTGCGTGGTGAGGTCGTGCTCTGCCAGCGCCTCCCGGCTCAGCTGTGCTGGATGGAAACCATCACTTTCCCTGCTCTGCCTTATTTTGGGGGAGTGGAGGGTGGCAGAGGGAGGGTGTCTCCTCGCTCTGCAGTTGCTGTAGCAACTGCGCTGTCTCTGGCGGCAGAGCACACGTTTCTTGCATCCAGCCCGAGTGTGAGCTGCTGAACTGAAAGCAGATTGATTTTTATCCCTGCTAGAATAAAGCCTCCCTCTGCCCTCCCCACCCCCAACAGCCAGAGCCCAGGGAAGCTGAGGACAGCACCCGGGCACCAGCCCAGTGCCGACACGCAGGGATGCTGCCGCGTCTGGCCGCTCCCGGGAAATCGTCTGCACATGAATCAAAGCCTCAGCACCTTCTTGAAACCCTTCTCTGCTGCCCCTCGACTCCTTGGTAAGGACAAGCTGCCTTTCCCTAATCCACGCTCCAAGGCAGGGTGGGTTGCTGCAGCCATCCAGGCTCATCCCTGGGGCAATTCATACCTGAATTCATTTCCACATGAAACAGAGAATCTGCTTTGGTGGGGAGGGACCAGTCGTGATCAAAACCTTCTCAGAAGAGGAGGATCAGCATAAGCTTTGCAAAGTTACTTTCCTGGGTAATGATTTTTAAATCGTAGAGCCTTTATCACGGTCTGGATTCATTTGATGCCCATTTCCTGCCACCTGATAAGACTTCGCCTCCTAAATCCCGTTACTCCCCCATTTCCATCACCTTTGCACATCACAAGCCCTGACCTGCCCTCCCTTCCTTTTCTCTCTGAGAAACCAGAGAAACAGAGTTCCTTGAGCCATCTCTGAGAATGTGCTGGTCCCTCTTCCCTGAACCTCAGCTCCTTGGCCATTGCACTGTTTGTTTATCCCAAGGCACGTTGCTCTGGTGTCCCACCACTGTGTCAGGACCATCTTGTGGCCACTGCAGGAACCCATTTAGACCCCATCAGCCTGGTTTGGGCTCCACTCTGTATATGTGACATCTCTTTTTTCCTTCACCACTGACTTTATCTTTGTTTCAAGTAAAGCATATCTTGCTGGCCAATGCATCCACCAGTTCCCATCAGGAGGCAGCTACACAGGAGGCCAGAGCAAGCAAAGCTTGGTGCTAAGGGTTCTGTGTTGCTCATCACCCACGGCCCTGCTTGCATCTCTGGTTTTGTTTGCAGAATGCAGCCCTGGCCTTGCACAGATGCAGAGACCTGCCCTGATTTTCCAGAATGCCATGAGCTCTGATCCAGCCTTTTACCACCTGTTTTTGGGATGGCCGCCAGGGAGGGCAGGAATTTCAAGGAGGGCTGTTCTTCATGAGAGGGGGAAGCAAAAGGGAGCGAGTTAAGTTTCCCATGATCAGAATGCACCCTCTAAGCATTTCCTGCTGGGAACCAAATCTTCCTTCTGTAGGTGATCACCTGCACCACAAAATAAGAGATGAGCAATGCTCAGGCAGGGGCTGTAGTAACCTAAAATAGTTTTTTTTCCACTGTAATAATTACTTAAAGTGCCATTTCTTAGTCAGTGTTTTTGGGGCTGCAGCTGGAGCTTTATGTTCCCTGGGAAGTTTTCTTGAAGAACAGGTTGGCCAGTTGGGGAATGTTTCACTGCTATTTTCAGCCTGGGACATTTTCCTTTTGCTTCTTTTTTTTTTTTTTTTTTCAAAGTACAACAAAAAACCTGTCAACAAGTCACAAAAGAGTGATCTCAGTCTAAAATACGAGCCCTGGCATGGGAGGGCATTTGACTCAGAAGCCACTTCCCATCTTTGGAGACTTGAAGTATGTTCCACTTCGTCATCCTGAAGGTCTTTGGGCACTTATAAAAACAGAGTTTATTTATCCACAGTCAGAACAGCCTATCTATTATCTTGAAGGCTGAATTCAGAAAGTTTCTTCAGAAATTTATTGGTTTCATTCCTACCAGTCTGAACAGAAGTTTTCCACAAAGTCTGTCAAAATACAAATGTCTCAATTCCAATTTCCCTCGGTCTTTAGCAGGACATCACATTAATTGTGTTAAAAAGCACTTTTATTAGTTACTGAGAAAGCAGGAGTCTGGCAGCTCTTCTTGACCATGAGCTATACACTTTTGTGAAGTCTCCTTTAACAGTGCTTTGATCCAAAGCAGTGGTTTTCTCCACCAGCAAATTCAGCAGTGCCTGGAGCCAAAGGGACCAGCTCCAGGCAACGATTATTGGCTGCAGGTTTGAAGGGCTCCTACTGCTGCCTGGGCAAAGCCTTTCTGTTCCTCTGGAGGCTTCTCACATCCCCATTGTGAGAGCAAACCGAGTGGGGGAGGCACATGGTCAGCCCGAGGCCAGGGAGACCCAGGAGCACGGGCAGAAATGCAGACAGGATGGGTGAGTTTCATCCCCACCTGTGACACTTTTGGGAGGGCTCAGTGAACCATCAAACAGCTCGTAGGAGTTTTGCTTTAGTCTAATTGTGCATAACGCTGCTCCAGCCAAAACAGCCCAGCCTGGTGACAATGTGCCATCTACTTTGCAAGGGAAAGGTGACAATGAAAAAACCCAGCAATTCCCAGTTCTCCAAGAGGCAAGGAAATTATGTTCCCCATCTGATCTCCATGGGATGCTCTGGGTTTGCTCCTGCAAATATTCGGTCATTCTGGAGTTGTGTGAGCAGCCAGAAACCCAAACTTCCCACCTGCTGCCTTGCATCAGCATCAGCTCTCCTGAATTCCCTGAGCCAACAGCAGAGCATGAGGAGTAGGATGGGCACTCAGGACATGAGCCAGCTGCAGGATCCATGCAATTCCTGGGATAAAAGCACCAATGTGAGATACAGCTGGGCCATTAGCATTAAAGGAAAAACTCAGCTCTGCTGTCCCATTCTAAACAAGGTGACAGACATTAAGTGGCATTGAATGAGGCTGGACTTTACCTCATAGCACTTTTTTGAGCATCTCCAATGCCACTCCAAACTGAGTCCCTGCTTACACTTCAGCTCTAGAAAATACTTCAAGGAGTTCCAACACACACACATTCAATCCCCATGTGGAAGAAGGCAGTGCTTGATAATTGAGACATTAATGCTGAAAGACTGAGCAGGATTCCCTTGGCTGTCACAGCTTGGCTGCTGGGAGCTATGAAAAGAAAATAAATAAATTTGGACTTTGTTGAAATAGCCAGTGGATTGAAACCTGGAGATTCCTGAAAACAGCTGTGCTGGAAAGGAGCACGTGTAGAGGGTTGAGGGATCCCTCCCATGGTTGTGTAAATATCTCAGCACTGACATTGCAAGTTGTAAATGTTGTCAGGGCTGGAAGATTGCACCCATCTGACTGCACCAGGACCTCCAAAAACACTCTCACACTGTCATCTTCCAGCCAGGCATGTGCAGGTGCCCCCTGCAGAAGGATGGCCGGGACAGGCACAGGTGAGAGCCCAAGATCTGTTGGAAGCAGAGAAGTCCCTGCAGAAATAGTTTGTTGGATGCTCAGGTATCTGTGGAGGGATCAGTTGGTCAGCAGAAACCCAGAGAGAGGAGATTTCAGATAGGAGGAAAAGCTGTGCCACCCAAAAAGTGCAGCCCAGCTCTTATCACAACCCTCTGTGATCCAACACTGGTTTAACACAAATTTACTGGGAAAAATAAATGCTCTTAGGTTTGAGGATGGGTATCTGATAAATAAATCTTACAGCTCCTGCCCCTGTAGAGCAGCTGAAGACATTTTGATCAGAAAAATGCCTTCTCAGCCTCTCTTGCTCTTCCTGGAGGGCCTGGTGGCCTCTTACCTACAAGATCAGTGTCAGGAATGGCCTTCATTCAGCACAGACACTTAATATTTTCCTTTTATTTTAGTTCTCCACCCAGAATTTTAAACCACAGATGTGGCAATTAAGGGCTGAGCAAGGTCTGGTCACAACTTCTACATGGAACATAGCTGCTGCACCAGAGACCAAGTACCAGTGCCAACATGTGCTGGAGGGACCTCATTGTCTATAATTTAGCCCAGTTTTTCTTTCAAACACTGGCTCAATCATGATTTCTAGGAGCCAGAAATCGTGGTGCCAGAAAAAAATGGTGCAATTCATTGAGTGTCTGATGTTCTGACACGTGCTGGTTTTACACCTGTATGATCCAATGGCCTCAACAGAACCAGCCCTGACTTCTCCTGGCTCGATGGAGAGGAGAATCTGGCATTTCCATGATTTATCCCATGGACACAGCCCCATCCAGCCTGACAAACAGCCCTGTCACATGCCCTTTGCACAGCAGGGGAGAGCCTCAATTACACGGGGTGGCCACGCATGGGCCACCAGCTCTGCTGTTTACAGGAAGCACCAGCACAGAGCATGGAATTAGAAAGACCACAAGGAAGTGAGAGATTATTTACTGGAGATTAAAGGACATGGAAAAACCACAGGACAAATCAGTGGGGCCTAAGCAATGGTAGCTGCTATTTCAGTCTTCCAACTGCTGCCATTCATACTGGTCATACTGTGATGGGAGAACTGGGGAGGAATTAAGGACAAGAGGCTGCTCTGCTTTTGGACACCAAAGAATAGGTCCCCAACCTGCTGAAAAGAGAGATTTCTTGTTCATTCCTCAACCATTCCTGTGTGTCTTTCTCCTCCCCAGGTGTGATTCCTACTTGTGGACTGCCCCTCCAGGCCAGAGCAGACCTGGCTGTCAGCAAAGCAAATGGGATGTGCCCATGAGTTTGGCCCAGATGAGTCAAGATAAAATATTTCCTCAGACCTGGAAAGTCCCACTGCCCATGGGTTAATCTAATTTTTGCTGAGATCTGCTTTTCAGCTATGTCTGGCCACCAGGATTTCAATGTTGCTAATGAGCTCTGACATTTGGACTGTAACTGGGCCCAGTCTCATGTCAGTGTGTGTCCACCTCTTCCTGCAGCTGTAGATACACAACTGCTGTCCCTGGGGCTCTCCAGGATGGTCACATTCTCAACAACATTTTCCCTGAAAGTCCTGCAAGGTTTTCCCAATGCTTGGCCATACTTCCTAAAGCACTGTGCTCCTGGCAGGTAAAGCTGTTTACAGCAGTGCTGCTGCCCTTGTCCCACAGCCATGCTGGCAATATGGCCATCACTCGTCTCTTGAAACCAGTTTTGGGATAGCATCCAGACTCCTCCACCAAGCCCCCTCTCAGGGAGTCAGGTGAATCTTTGGCTGCCTCTCTTTCCAAAGACACAAATGTCACTTTATCATCTCCTCCCCAGCTTCTGCTGTACCTCAATGCCACACCACAACAGGCCACCACTAGGTGCCAAGTGACATCCCCCATCCATCCCCACACTAATACAGACTGAGCTTCCAGCATCTCCAGAGCAGCATCTCCAGCAGCCCTGGTGCCCCTTGTGCTCAGTGTGGGGCAGTGATTCAGCTCTCACTCCGTGGGAAGGTGGCCACTACTC